AGTTTCAGCAGCAGCTGAATCAGGACGCCTGGGGCAGAGCAGCTGGGGTGCTGCCGGGTTGGTCCAGTAGTGCCCAGAGCGGCGCTGCGGGAGCAACCGGCAGCGCCCCAGCGGTTCTGTCCCAGGCTCCACAACAAAAGCCTGGTCTTCTGGGGGGGAGGGGGAGCACACTAGCTGCGCCCCCCTCCCCAGCAGACCAGGGAGACGTGGGCGGCAGACCGAGATGCACCGCGGTCCCGCCGCCCGGGTCTTCCACGGCTTTGCTCCGCATGTCCCTGGTCTGCTGGTGCCGCTGTCCCGCTGCCGGCGTCCTCTGAGGCTTTGCTCCCTGTCTCCCTGGTCTGCTGGTCTCCAGCAGACCAGCAAGACGTGAAGCAAAGCCGCGGAGCACGCGGGCAGACCAGGAAGACTGCCTTAAGTCGGACCCCTAGTTACGAACTGGGGGGAGCCCCCGCTAGTGCGGGGTGCCTCCCCCTGTCACCACCTCTGGCGGCACGGGGGGTGCTTCCCCCCAGCAGACCAGGGAGACACGGAGCAGCTTTTCTCGCTCCGGAGGACGTGGGCGGCGGGACCGTGGCGCATCTGGGCGTCCCGCCGCTCCCATCCTCCAGGGCGAGAAAAACCCCATTCGTAACTGCGGATCCGACATAAGTCGGATCCGCGTAACTCGGGGACTGCCTGTACTGAGGAAATAAATACAGGAAAAACTGTTATAATAAAATCCACTGGACTGACATACCCATTCTGCTGCCTTCTCGGTCTTTCTGTTTTTCATCTTGCTCATCAGGATTGTCATCTCCATCATCATCGTCTTCATCGTCACTATATTGACCAAGTGCATTTACCAGCTCCACAAATATCTCATCATTGATAAAGCCGCATTCTGAAGTTCGGCAAGATTGGAAATGAACCAAAAAAGAAGGAAAGTGCACACAAAGTATTTATTTCTACCCATATTTCAGATTTTTAAAACAAACATGTTACATGTTTAGTTATTAGATGCTGTGCTCAGAGCACATGATAATCTACAAACTCAGTACAAGACAGGAGGTGCTCAGCAGGAGGATGAATGGGCATCAACAATTTCTTAATTGTTAATTTTGAGAGATTTTTTTCCCCAAATTTCTCTATACCATCCAAGAGAGAGAATATAAATCATTTTGCCAGCGAACAGGAACAGAAAAATAAAGTTCTAGTAAAGTCACACTTCCTACAAGATAAAAGGACCGAACTGGCTGGGTGATTCAAAGGGAAGTGGTTGGTAGTTCACTGTTATCCTCTCCCCAATCATCCACACCACCTACCAAAGAAGTATGCCAGAGTAATTTATCCTAAGCTCAGGCTATGAAGGTAGATATTTTCAAAGGGGAAACCATTATATGACATTCATCTGGGTTGTCAATATCTTGGTTTAGTGAGTTCTTTCCTCCCAAAAACAGCTACAGCTCTTAATGCCAACTGTATTTCTAAGCCTGTTGAAACATCCACAGAGAAAGAGCCACGGTCTTCTCTGCATAAGACAAAGAAAGAAGGTATCAACACAGGTATTCTGAAAAGGGCTTCCATACAGAAACAGCATCAAATACTCCTTTGTTGAACAAATATTTTATTTAATGAGTAGCACACTAAGTGCTTGTAAAAGTGGTGCTTACTTCCTCCTCAGAGTTCCAGCCAGAGGGCTTACCTTTCCCAGATATTTCACGGTCTTCTCTGCATAAGACAAAGAAAGAAGGTATCAACACAGGTATTCTGAAAAGGGCTTCCATACAGAAACAGCATCAAATACTCCTTTGTTGAACAAATATTTTATTTAATGAGTAGCACACTAAGTGCTTGTAAAAGTGGTGCTTACTTCCTCCTCAGAGTTCCAGCCAGAGGGCTTACCTTTCCCAGATATTTCAGTAGTCATAGAATCATAGAATACTAGGACTGGAAGAGC